TAGCAGTCTGTCTGTGTACTTAGCAGTCTGTCTGTGTACTTAGCAGTCTGTCTGTATTTAGCAGACTGCTGAGTACACAGTCTGCTGAATACACACACAGACTGCTAAATACACACACACACACAGACAGACTGCTGAGTGTACACACACAGACAGACTGCTGAGTGTACACACACAGACAGACTGCTGAGTGTACACACACAGACAGACTGCTGAGTGTACACACACAGACAGATGCTGAGTGTACACACACAGACAGACTGCTGAGTGTACACACACAGACAGACTGCTGAGTGTACACACACTGCATTGAGGGGTACATTGTATGTGTTTGTGTGTGTGGTGTGGGGTGATGTGATGTGTGGGTGTCTTTGTGTGGGGTGATATGTGTAGGGCAGGGGTGCTGTGTGTATGTCGTCCCCCCTCTCCGCCCGTCCCACACTCAGTTTTCTCCCCCTATACCTCCCTCAGTTCCCCCCCATAACTCTCCCCCTCAGTTTCCGTCCCATCTCTCCCTCAGTTTCCATCCCATCTCTCCCACTCAGTTTCACCTCCCATCTCTCTCCCACTCAGTTTCCCCTCCCATCTCTCTCCCACTCAGTTCCCCCCATCTCTCTCCCTCAGTTCCCCCCCATCTCTCTCCCTCAGTTTCCCCCCATCTCTCTCCCTCAGTTTCCCCCCATCTCTCTCCCTCAGCTTCCCCCCATATCTCTCCCTCAGTTTCCCCCATCTCTCTCCCTCAGTTTTCCCCATCTCTCTCCCTCAGTTTTCCCCATCTCTCTCCCCACTCAGGTCCAGCCCCGCCAAGCTCTCCCTCCGGTTCCCCATCGCACCTGCTCAGGCCCCCCCCATGGCTCTCCCTCCCCAGTCCCCCCCCCTCCCCCCTCCCGCGCCGGCTCTCCTCGGTTCCCCCCCCTCCCATGGCTCTCGGTTCCCCCCCCCCCATGGCTCTCCCTGGGTCCCCATGGCTCTCCCTCAGTTCCCCATGGCTCTCCCTCCAGTTCCCCCCCCTCCCATGGCTCTCCTCAGTTCCCCCCGCTGGCTCTCCCTCAGTTCCCCCCCCCTCCCGCCTTGAAACCTCCCTCGAGTTCCCCCCTCCCATGGCTCTCCCACTCAGGTCCCCCCTCCCCCCTCCTTGAGCTCCTACCTTGTAGCGTGGCCGTTGACTCTTTTCATGCGACCATTTACCACCAATTTATTCCAAATTTTTAAAAAATAAAATAATTGGTGATTTTTTTGACACACATAGCAATTTAAGAATACATGTACTGAGAACTTTAAGGATTACTGCCAAAGAACACCTCAATATGTTTTCAGCAACATCTCATGAGTACAGTGATACCACCCATGTATAGTATAGGTGTGTTGGGTTTTCTGGGGGCTAAAAGACCTAATTTGGAGGGTGCACATTACAGTTTTCCAACTCAGAATTTTCACAGCTGGTCATCATGCACCAATGCCCCATTTGGGACATTTTTGAAAGCCGGCCAATGTAATTTATCGCCATCAAACCATATATTTCTGAAAAGTAAACACCCTAGGGTATTTCAGATGGTGGTATTTTAATTCTTTTCATGCACTAATTCTACCACCAGTCTTTGTCAACCTTCTGGGTAGTCATTTTCTGTGTTATTTTTCACACACATTGTACTTTAGGCATGGATTTTTGTTTCCTGTCACGTGTTAGTGACAAAGAACACCCCAATATGTGTTCATCAACATTTCCCGAGTACAAAAGTGCCCCCAATTTACAGGTTTTATGGGTTTTTGCAAACTTACAGTGGTAAAATGTAGGGCTTTCCCCTTTTCCATGTTTGCACATTAAAATTTGCCAGATTGGGTTGCTGGGCCTATGTTGCCTTTGAGACTGTATGGCAGCCCAGGAATGAAAATCAACCCCATCATGGCATACCATTTGTAAAAGTAGACAGCCCATGGTATTCAAAATGGGGTATGTTCAGTGTTTTGTAGTAGCCACTTAGTAACAAACGCTGGCCAAACTTAGTATTTTTATTACTTTTTTGCATTTTTAAAAACAATAACTGCACTTTTACTGGTGATTTCATCGTTGTGATAAGTTTTACTGTTTCAAACACTCATATTTGTGTTCAGAGAAGTCTCCCACGTAGAACAATACCCCCCATCTACAGGTTTTATGGTGTTTTGGAAAGTAACATGGTCAATATAGGGTTTGTCCAATTCAGTTTGCCAGATTGGTTTGCTGGGTCTACATTGCATTTTGAGACCATATGGTATCCCAGGAATGTGAAATAACCCCATCATGGCATACGATTTTCAAATCTAGACAACCCAGGGTATTCAAAATGGGGTAGGTCCAGTTTTTTATAGTAGTAGCCTCTTAGTCACAAACGCTGGGCAAAGTTAGCGTTTTTATTTGTTTTTTTATTAAAAAAAAAGTTTTAAATTTATAATTTACATACTGGTATATCTTGATAAATACCAGTATGTAGAAATATAGGCTGCACTCACAGGCTTCAAATTTCAAAAAAGGTGTTTTATTCCATAAAACAAGAAAATCAACGTTTCGGTCCACGCAGGGACCTTCCTCAGGATAAAGTGACACTTCATCCTCAGGATGGTCCCTGCGTGGACCGAAACGTTGATTTTCTTGTCTTATGGAATAAAGCACCTTTTTTTAAAATTTGAAGCATGTGAGTGCAGCCTATATTTCTACATACTGGTATATATCAAGATCCCTAAAAGGACTGGAATATATATATATATATATACACACACACACACACACACACACTTTTATTTCATATATATGTATAATATATTATAATTAAAGCATTTTATAAAAGAAAGTTAATATAAACAAAGTGCCAGGGCCTGACAGCATTCATCCACGAGTACTTTGGAACTAAGTGTAGAAATATGTGAACCTCTGTTTTTAATCTTTCAAGATTCTTTTCTTTCAGGAAGTGTTCCAGAGGATTGGAGGAAAACAAATGTGGTTCCTATATTCAAAAAAGGTTCAAAATCCTTGCCTGGATATTATAGACCTGTGAGCTTAACTTCTGTGGCTGGAAAAGTATTTGAAAGGTTATTAACAGATAATATTCAAGAATTCCTTGAGAAGAACATGGTTATCAGCAAAAATCCCCATGGTTTTATGAAGCACAGATCATGTCAAACTAACTTGATTGGATTCTACGAAAAAGTAAGTAGAAGTATAGATCAGGGTGTTGCAGTGGATGTGATCTATTTGGATTTTGCCAAGGCATTTGATACAGTTCCATACAATAGATCAGTGTTCAAACTCAAAGAAATTGTTCTAGATGAAAATACTTGTTCTTGGTTAGAACATTGGCTTAAAAATAGAGTACAAAGAGTTGTCATTAATGGTAAATTTTCAAGCTGGACAGAGTTGGTAAGTGGTGTCCCTCAGGGTTCTGTTCTGGGACCCCTTCAATTTAACATGTTTATAAATGATCTTGAAAAAGCATTGAAACGTATGTTTCAGTGTTTGCAGATGGCACAAAACTCTGCAAAGTAATACAATATGAGCAAGATTTGTTACAGAGGGATTTAGATAGATTGTGGGAGTGGGCACTCAAATGGCGGATGAAATTTAATGTTGAAAAATGCAAAGTTATGCACTTCGGCGTAAAGAATACACAAGCAACGTATACCATTAATGGAAGCAAATTAGAGATAACAACACGAAAAGGACTTTGGAATTGTTATAGACGACAAACTATGCAACAATGTGCAATGTCAATCAGGTATTTTCCTGTCAATAAGGTATTTTCCTGCATGAAAAAGGGCATTCATTCTCAGGACGAGAATATCATTTTGCCTCTTTATAAATCACTGGTTAGACCACATCTTGAATATGCTGTGCAATTTTGGGCGACTGTTCTAAAGAAGGATATTATGGCACTAGAAAAAGTGCAGAGGCGGGCTACAAAATTAATAAAAAGGAATGGAACATATTAGCTATGAAGAAAGGTTAACAAATTTAAACCTCTTTAGTTTAGAAAAACGTCACCTCAGAGGGGATATGATAACATTATACAGGGGCGGGGCCTGACAGCCAAGATGGCCGGTCGCACACTCTAAGAGCTCCTGCAATAACAGGCACAATCCTGACAATATCGACTGAACTGTTTACACTGGCGGCACACGGTGTCTGGGGACCGACTCAAACCAACAAGAGACACAGAATGGTACCTGCCTGGCACCTACAAGCTGTGAAACACCCCACACTGGCCGTGCGGCCTAATCGGGAGCGGGGCCTGAGATCCGGGGGAGGCGGCCGATCCCCCGGCCCGGGCCGCGCTCTTAAGTGTGAACACACTACAGCCCTACTCCCCCCCCCCTCTGGACCGGCAGGGGATATCCCGGTCCTCGCTGGGGACGACTACCCCTGCAGCAACACCTGGCCAAGCGACAAAACCAACAGCCAAATGGGACTGCCAAGGCCCAACCAAGATGGCGGCACAGACGCAGCCCACGAAAAAGCGCACACTCACCAAGCCTCCCAAACACACATGGGAGTTCTATGACCGGCTCTTTGCCAGCCTCTGGACCCAGCACAAAGCCCGGAGACAGGCCTTCAAGCTGGCGATGAAAGAGGTGGCGGCTTGGATCCGCCCAGCAACCCGGCGCCACCTTGGCGGGAATCCCCCTCGTGGCTCCAGAGCAGCTCCCCGACGGGAACACAGCAGAAAATCAACAGGGCAGGAAGCGGCGCCAAGATCATTGGGTACAAGCACTTGCGCCCCCACGTTACGGAGCGGAACCCACCAGCATATCCGAACCGCGCGCCTCTCAACTGCCCCAGCAATCTCTCACGAGCAAAGCGCAACCCCGCACACAAGAATCCATGATGCCGGTCGCAATCATGAACGGGATGTAGCGAGGAAGGTAACCGGCGGGCACAACAAGCGGAGGGCCTCTCCACGACCCACAAGAGGGGGAACCCTGACCCAAGGGACCTACACACAACGCCAGCGGCTCAGCAGAGCGGGCATCGGCTGACTACAGATAACCCTCCGGACTGAGGCCTAGCTACCTCTCCCAAGCACTGGAGAAGGTTTCTGTGTAACAGCATGGACTCTCAGTGTATTGTATGATATTGTCCTACTGAATCTTCTCTTTTCATAACCTTGTTTATGTTTCTAGCAAGATGCGTTTGGCGCGAAATTTTCAGCGAAATTTAAATGCACATTTGCCCCCTGACAATGCATATTGTTTAAAACTCTTTCGGTTGTTGCAATACGCCATATAGGCATATACCCAAACGACTAACCTACTGTACTTAGTATAACGCTACCGTTACTAGCCTAACACCCTGACACTCTCACCACTCTGCATGTAGGGCATGTATGTCATACTTTGTAAACGGCATAATTACCCTAGCACACTATACCATATAAGCAATACATGACACTCCAAACCATCAGCTTATCATCTATTACATCCCTAGACATGTTGAACTAGCCTGTTACCCATATGTTTAGTATTTTTATTTTTATTTTGTTTTAAAATCTGTGTTGATTCAGCGAATTGTTCAGCTTAAGATCTTAAGCAGCGCACAGACAAGATGTGATTCAGTTAAGCATGCGACCCCATAATACTTCAATAATGCCAGCTTGTTAATGCTAAATGTATAACCTGCCTCCCTTCTCTCTTAGCTGACATGTTGATTCCACTCTTGACAAATCTACATTAATATATAAAATGTGCAATGTTCTATTATGCCAAACAATTGTCACTAATATGTCGATCATTTCGCTTGCAATCGCTGTTGTGGCATTGCTGGTTGCTTTGTACCTTTCTTGCACGATAAAATAAAGAATTTAAAAAAAAAAAAAAACATTATACAAATATATCCGGGACCAATACAAACCATTATGTGGAAATCTATTCACAAATCGGACTTTACATAGGACACAAGGTCATGCGTTTAGACTGGAAGAAAGAGGATTTCGTCTAAGGCAAAGAAAAGATTTTTTTACTGTAAGAACAATAAGGATGTGGAATTTTGGCCTGAAGAAGTGGTTTTATCAGAGTACATACAGATGTTCAAATAGCAACTAGATGCATACTTGCAAAAGCAGAATATTCAAGGATATAATTTTTCAATGTAGGGTAATAGCTTCTTGATCCAAGGATTAATCTGACTAATTCTGGGGTCTAGAAGGAATTTTATTCCTAGTTTGTTGCAAAAGTGGAAGTGCTTCAAACTGGGGGGGGGGGGGTTTGCCTTCTTTTGGATCAACAGCAAAAAACAAATGTGAGAAAGGCTGAACTTAATGGACGCAAGTCTCTTTTCAGTTATATAACTATGTAATATATTATACATATATAATGCATATATATGATTTCATTATAAGTGTATTATGAGTAATATGTGTATATATCTCAAAGTACACATATAATGAAATCATATGTATGCATTATATATGTATAATATATTATAAAATGCTTTAATTATTTTATGTTATATATTTGTTTATTATTTTACTTTTTAGCAGCCTGGGGGACTGCCTAACAGCTCAGGTTGATCACATGGCTCTGGAGGGCCGGAGCTGCTGCAGGGGGACTCCGGCAGTCCCCCCCCCACCTAGATCGCCGCTCCAGGTAAGTCCAGGGCTCCTATTTGCCACGGACGTACTTACGTGTCCTTAACGACCATTTTTTTTTTTTAATGGGATATATATATATATATATTTATTTATTTTTTCATTCTAAGTGTATTTTGATATAAAAATACAGTTAGAATAAAATTACATATTATATATATATATATATATATATATATATATATATATATATACACACACACACACACACTTAAAAAAAAATATTTTTATACAGTTTTTTATTTTTATTAATTAATCCAGAGGGTCAACGTTTCAGCTCCCGTTTGGAGCTTTGATCAGGACACATGATGATGTGTCCTGATGAAAGCTCCAAACGGGAGCTGAAACGTTGACCCTCTGGATTGATTTACAATAAACCAACGACCTAGAGTGCCGGTATTATTTATCTATTTCTGTATATTGCATTGTGACTGGGCACCAGGCAATATTTATATGTATAGTTGGAGTGCTGGAATATTCAACTTATATATATATATATATACACACACACACACACACACACACACAAAATATAGTTATTATATATTATATATATATATATATACACACACACACACACACACACACACACACGTGTGTAATTTTACTCTAAGTGTATTTTTATATTAATATGTATATATTAATAAAAAAATACTTAGTATGAGGATATATATATATATATATATATATATATATATATATAAAAAAAAGATATATATATATACACATATTATATATAGATATAATATATGTGTGTTTATATATATCATATATACATAATTTTTTTAATGTATTAACTTTACATTTTTAAACTTTTTCCACCAGCAGGGGGACTGCCTGTCAGTTCAGGCAGTCCCTCTGCTGGCAGCACTGTGGACACCTATTGCGGCCATGTAAACTTTCTTTTAGAGCAGTCACATGGCCCCTGGGGGTCCTAAATTGCAGAGGGGGACTGTCCCCCTCAGAAGAATGCTCTGCTCTGCACTGCTGGGTGCCACGTGCAGCAACCCAGAAGTGATCGCTCCGGGGGAAGCGATCACTCGGGGTGCCCGGCAGTGAGGGGGGTATTTCACGATGCCTCAACACTGAGGCATCGTGCAATACCCACAGAGCGGCTGGAAGCGATCACGTTCGCTTCCAGCACTCAAATTAGCCGCGGACGTATGAGGTACATCCGCGGTCCTTAAGGACCATTTTTTGTCGGACGTACTTCATACGTCCGCGGTCCTTAATGAATCAGTGGCTCCCCATTGATAATAAAAAATAAAAAAAATTTTAAAAAAAAGAGAGAGAAATGTTGCTCAGAGTTGGGTTAGAGTGTCAGTTAACCGCTCAAGCCAAACAGCAGCTAGGAAGTTGCTGAAGGAACTTTTGGGGTTTAATCGTTCGGGGTTTAACCCCTTAAGGTAAGAGTGCGCCTGTGGGCATCCTGGCACCATAACAACTTTATTTAGAAAAGTTACTGTGACGGTAGTGTCCATTTAATACAGCTTAAATTTGCTGACAACTGTTTCAACCCCTACAGATCTCTGTCCCTGACAAAGTCCTGCTTTCATATCCAAACCTTAAAAAAAAAAAAAACACAACACACTCCTGTACTTATCAACCCTTTACTTGACCTTCACCTTGCCACAGTATACTGCTTTCAACTCCTTCTCCACCCACATGAAAAATTACAGGGGGGTCATAACAGAAAAACCTAGTAAGACCATCCTCTACTTGAAAACAATCAAGATTCTTGCAATAAATAAATTAATTTAAAAAATCTGGTATATGTACAATGGCCTACAGTCTAGACCAGGCCTAGCAAAATACTTCAAAATCAGTATTTCATCTCTAGTCTACCACTGTGGAAATGAAAAACTGTCACTAAAAAGGTTTTCTCCTTTTGCTCTCTCTCTCGCCAGGTTACTTCACACTTTGTGCCTTATATTTCATGTTAATGAAGGTTAAAGTATTGTTCTTACTTCCCAATTTATATCCCTTTAATTATTTGTAAATAAGAAATACGGAGTACAACGTATATCATACGGTTCCAGACACTGCTTGCTCGAGATTTGCTTCTATGTCTATGTAGTCACATATTAAAAATTAAAACTTCAACAAGCCAACAACATGTTTCAAATGCACTGATGACAATGCTCATACGTTGGGATTGCCCCACTATAAAATCCTTTTGAAAAAAAGTCCAAATCTATTTACGAAACCATGCTATGCCTCTCTGATCAGCCATCCCTCATTTTACTTCCCCCAACATAATCCTCCCAATCATAGCAGCAGTATGCCGTGAGACTATCTTAGAAGTGTGGAGCCAGTCCACCTCAATTTCACTTTTCCTAGTTAAAATCCATTATCTTTTCAGGATGGACTGGCTCCACACACACACTTTATAAAATAACTGATGGACAATATTTTCCTCACAACCTGGAAATACTACATCTCTACCATAGACCAACCCCTTCTGAACTAGAATTACATTTACATTGGAATTCAGTTTGTTGTATGCTTGAAGGTCATATCAAGTCATAACCCACTATCATTACTTACCAGTCCCAGGTAACCGCTCATATCAATCCTTGAACCTCCTTTACTCTCCCTTATTAATTCACTCAACCATGGAGGGATTGGCTTTGTGGTTTGCTGGTTTTGTTTAGATTACGTGATAAAAAAAGGTTTACCACAACCTTCTTTAGGAGAGATAGTGCATCCCATTTGTTCTCAGTTGATAGAACTAGTGTTATTATACTAGCCCTCATCTCTCATTCACTAACATTTCTAACATCCTTCTCATATACTTTTGGGGCAATGGCTGGAATTGGCATTAATTAGCATTATTCTACTCACTGATTAACTAATATTTTGTTACTTTGGTCATATATTGTTTTAATAATGATAAAAGAGAATGTGACAGTCTGTATTGATGCCTTATCGAGAGACTACCTCTGTATCCTATTGCTTTGCTTATTTTTGGTACGGACTGATTTTCTGGATGTGTATGCCACATTCTCAATAAAAAAAAAAAAAATGTCTTTTAAAAAAAAATTTAAACTGCTTAAATAAAGGCTGAGGCCTGCTCAAAAAAATATTCTTAAGAAATCACATTAGCATCGTGGAAGTAACTAGAAAACACACGTTTTCCTAAAAAAAATTAATAATAATAATAATAAATCTTTTTAGTGTATAGGAAATTTTAAAAATCTAATCTATACCTGTAAACACATGGGTTTACTCAATTAAACAATAAATTACAAACCTAACTGCAAAATCCTAGCAAAAAAGTGCAGGGTTAGAAAAATTCTACAACTTACTTATGGTCACCACTTGGCTATTTTATTCTAAAATTTGACATTTTTGTTTACAAATCACTACCATGTGGTGTTTAGTATACAACTGACAAGGATTTATTCACTAAACATTGTATTGTAGTGAACTAAAAATCAAACTGTAAAATTTAGGCAAAAAAAAAAAAAAGGTATTTAGAAAAATTCTCCTATCCAGTCGTAGTCACTGCTTGACTATTTTTGCCTGAACTGTGCAATGCAAGAATTCACTTTACAACAGTGGTGTTTAGTGAGTAAACCCCTACACAATATTG